TGCAACGGCAATCCGGTTGTACCGTTATTTGCCGAGACCACAATTCGAGACAGGCTCTATGTGTCTTAATTATGTCTGGCCGATGTGGCCGACAATTGCCGCCGGAATACCTGATTTCGAACCCGCCTTTGGTCTCACGAGCGTGTCTTCTGACGACTCTTTCCACTCTGTGCGTTCAGCGTGCCGTCAGAATAAAACGCAATATACTGTTTTTGACCGGAGCCGCATCACGTCCTGCATGCATGAACCGACTCGTTTGTTTGACAAGCTGCCGGTCTACTCAAAAGCAGCAGTGACGGCGGTTATTGTGATTTCTTTCTTGTGCTAGCCCAAAGAAGCGCACACCCCCTATCTGGATTCAATATGGAAAAATTGGCACCCCGCCGTTGCGTCACTCACCCGAGATCGCTTTGTTTGTTGTTGTTGTTTTGTCGCTGTCGCCAAAACAGAGGACTTGCATGATGTGAAAATTTTATAAAAAGAGCGATTGACACGATACGAGGAGAAAAAAGAGCGGAAAAGGGAGGGTCGAACAACATAAGCAGATCTTGCTTCTCAATGTCCTGCTCGACATAAAGGCAGGAGAATTGAGCACTTGCGCCAGCCGTCTGTTTGTTATTTTTTATCAGAATTGAAATTACCGTTCGCGCACTCATGGCCTCGCGGCTCTTCTATTGGCTGGACCCGCCACAGCAGACTTTCAAAATTCTGGTTTGCATCGGTGTTCTCTTTTCCATTTACCACAAGCCTGTTGCATCCTCCCTCCTTCTCTCCCTTTTCCCTCTCCTTCGCTCTTTAGTTGCTTTTCAATGCATGCCCCTTTCTCTCTTTTTCTGTACCTTTTTGATTTTCACCACCGGACTTTGCACCAATTCTGCCTCTCTCTCCCCCTTCTCTTCTCTCTATAACCACGATTCTAATACTTTTGCGCTCCTGTATATATTACTACCAACCCACAGCCTAGATATCGCACATCTCTATATAACACAGGCCATCGGCCACTGAATAAAAAACACTCGGCGGACTAGATAACTTTCTCGACTCGACGCACCAGCTATGTACGTATCAAGCTACTTGAGCAGACGATTAGCAGCAATTGGCATGCGTACATTACCGCCTATTTTCCCCTGATTATGCAAACCTCTCTCTCCCTCTCTCTCTGCAAATAAAACTCGCTTTGGCTGCTCGGTGAGTGACTGCATAAAATGGATCCGATAGTTGAATTATGTTTTCTCTACAGGCCCTTCTTTCTCCACCTCCTATTCCATTTGCCTTGAGAATGGCTGACGAATACGCCTTCATACACTACTGCTTTAGCATAGTTGGCTACCTGTTGAGCATTTTAACTTTTTAGAGTACGGCGCCATTATTTATCCTATTTACTTTGCCATCCTGCTCATATTCCCTAATAAGGAACTAATATTGCACTTGTTACTGGCCGGTCAGTTCCACCGATTTCCACCACTCTCGGCCAATCACCACAAGATCCCCCGGGGACCGACAGTAACAACAACAAAAAGCGTTGGTACCACCTTCCTCATTCATACGGGCAATCTATTATCTGTTGACAGTCTCAGGCTCTGAAATGTATCATTTTCAAAAAAAGGCTACCTTCTAGTCGCTATCAGCTGCAGATTCACAGTCGCTATCTAGTATGGATAGAAACGTCTGCTAGGCAGCCAAACCCTGACACGGCGCCACTTTATCTGTACACACAAAATGACTCGACATTAAGACAACACCCAAGGATAAGAAGATGGCATGGCCGGAAATCACTTCTTTGATTTTCACAATCTGTCCTTTTTTGGATCGTCACAGCCGCCCAATGCACTCATACCAGCCTGCCTGACTGGTCCGCTTTCATCACTACGAGCTTTTGTTGGTCGCTTGGGCACATTGTCAACCCGCTGTATTGGCTGCTCCAAAAAAAAATAATGGCCCGACAATATTCCCAATCCGGCACTACCTCTCGCGCTCATCGTTTCCAGCTGCTTGGCGATGCGTATGAAAGGCGCGTGCTAAAGGGTAGCCTCCCTTGCCGCTTGGTCATCACCACAGCCAGTGTATGCCCCCTTTCTCTCCGGAGTGTCCAAAATGCCCGCGCGTTCGTTTCTATTGTGGATTTGCGAATGAAGGACACCTATAATCCGCAAGCCAGTCACCACCCTGCGTCGTCCTACTGGCTGATTCCTTCTCCACCATCGCGTTTGGCATTTGGTCCATTCCCGTGCCTGCAATTCACACAACAACAACCCCCTTGATCACTCTACAAAGAGATATTTTTTGCTGTTTTGAGAGCATTCGTTACAATTGGTGGCAGCCTCTCTGCCAACACTGCTTGTTTGATGTTGCCGATGAACTTGCTTGCAACCGAGATATAAATATGCGCTGCACCCCCACCCCTCCACCGCACAATTGTTCTTTGGAACAATCGCGTACTTTGCAACATTTTCTCTTGCTCTATTGACAACCACCGGCACTGCGCACTTTTAAACGTACTGTCTAGCTTTGTCCACCCTCCTCGGTGTCATAGTACAGCAGCAGCAACAACAACAATTGCTGCAAGGCTTATTTGACCAACGCTTGTGCGCAGCACCTCTTGCTCGCTAAAAACCCGAGATCACTTGCGGCATCTAAACATTCTGTCCATTTATATCTGGACTGTCGGGTGATTCATCCTATATCCGAAATCCGGATATCTATTCCAAATATCTCTTTTCGGAACAGCGCTTTATATTCTAGTGCCGCAGGATCCCAAGGCAAAGATTCAAACGCTATTTATACTAAACTCGGTGTTGTTTTTGTATTTGTATTCTGTCGTGCATAATAGCTATTTGTGATAGGATGGATGCCGAGCAGGAGAATAACACACAACCACAGCAACCAGAAAACAGATGCAACAGCGACAATAGCAACGATATAGATGTAAGTAGACCTGGAGACAAAGGTCGCCGGCGGTCAGAGTCGGTCAAAAGCCTTATGAGCAACGACAGCGACAGCGATATAAACCTCGAAAATGCGCCTGAAATGTACTATGTAACCAACACCGATAACAACCTCGGATCTGGCAGTACGTCTCATGCCCTGTCGGCCAACGCCAATCAGTCGGATATTGCAGGCACGACCATGTGGAAAGAGGACCTGAGCAACCTGCTGACGCCTCAGACTGTCATGGAGCAGGCGCAGGTCAGGCGGCGCAAGCGCAACCGCGAAGCAGCAAGGCGCTCGCGGCAGCGGCAGAAGGAACGCGAACGCGAACTAGTCGAAAAGCAGTCTCAGCTTTCGGAGAGGCTGCGCTTTCTACAGCAGGAACTTGTCGAGTGGCGCATGATCAACTCGACTACCAACACAGCAGATACAGAGTCGACGGCGATACGGTTAATTGACCCGGCGGACGTTTCAAACAGTGAAGACGGTGTGCTAGCTGAAAACATCAACAGCGTGTACGCCCTCACCATGGAGACACTGCACATAATCGGCGAGCTACAGCTGCAACTGGATGAGATTACCAAGGAGCTAAACAGCATGATCGACCCAGAATAATACTAGAATTAGAATCTCAATTAGAATTAACAAAATGGTGCATAATGCAATAGAAATAACAATGCGGGTAAAACGTTTTTCCCCCGGCGGCTCGGTGCATATATTTTCAGATGAAGACGTCGGAAAAGTCCATATTTGCCAGTGCTTCGTACAGCGACGTGATTGCCCGCATGATCTGGCGTGTGTTTGGATAGAACACAAACCCGGCTGATGACCTGGTTTCGGCAATATTTCGACGAAAGTCCATTTCGATATTGCCCAAAAACGCGTCGCGCTCAGCAGGCGACAGGTCGCTGAAAGCGCGACCTGTGTGAATGTCGGCGCTAGAACATTTAAATGTCTGCCGAGAGCCGCCCGGGTCACTGTCAGGACTGTGCGGTTGTGTGACGGTAGCAGAGTTTGCAGAGGTTGTGGCTAAAGAGCATGCCATGTTCAAAAGTCAAGATAAAGTACAACAATAAAAAGGTATTGCTTCCAAATTCTGTCGAGCGAAAAGGAAAAAAAGTTTTGCTCGTCCAGATCTGGGGATGGGAGGGAGACAAGTCTGATAGCTAAGACGTTCGAGACTTTCGAAACAAACCGCAGCAAGCAGTACAAAAATGCAGTAGCGGTGGTCTGGGCAAAGAAAAATATCACGTGGAGTTGTGGATTGACGGCGGAAAATCCAAAATCTGAATTTGTGCAGACGTCTCAAATCGAGGCGCGTTATAGATTAAATATAGACGCTTTTGTTGTAATAAGAACCGGTATCTAATATGTTTGCCACCTACTTATTGCTCTATTAGAAGTTGAGAATTGTATAATTGACCTGCTCAAGTATGAACGGTGTGCATTCATGAACAACGGGAACAGCATTACAATTGTAAAAAACAGTTGCACATTCGCTATCCGAGCAGTGAAACATATATAAATAGAAGGAATCCATGCTTTGTTCAAATAAATATTCAAACAACTATCAAATCTCTCCAACAACCATGCCACCTCAACATCTAGCTATTGAAACGAGACCACGCTGGCTTTGCCATGTATGCGGCGCAGAATTCGACTTTATAACCGATTTTGCCAACCACTCACTAACTCACGAGTAGATATTAATTAATAAATATATACCTGATAAATGTGTAAAATTGACAAGCGTAGAAGAAATTTACGACAGATGCTCTATGAGGTTTAAAAGTAACACTCAGCAACTAAAAAAACATGCAAACCAGCGCTTTTTTTAAAATTGCATGTGGCATGGTGATTATTTTATAAAATATTGAAATCAGAAGTTGCAACCAGTTGAATTCTCGCAACACCAAATCCGCAATGGTCCAGTGGCTAGGATCCGACGCTCTCACCGTCGTGGCCGGGGTTCGATTCCCCGTTGCGGAACATTTTTTGCTCAAGCGTGGTTTCTCAATATTAAAATTTTATTTGAAGTAAAAAACAAATGATTCTCAAATATACAAAAAAGTTCCGAAGACCCGGATTTGAACCAGGGACCTAGAGATATCAATTTAATGCACAGCGTTTCCACCGCACATACACTACAGTCTCCCGCTCTACCGCTGAGCTACCTTCGGTTTTTTGAACAAAAATTAGCTCTGTATTTAAACCAAGGGTCAGTTTCTGCATTTTTTTATAAATTTGAGTTGCGTTATGGGAATATATTTTGCTAACACGAGGAATTCACTATTGGTGCGATCAAGACCAGCGACAAAATACTTATTAGATGGCAAATGTCAGTAACTTAATGGCGCACTACACGACCTATCTTTTGCGTACACACTCCGCGCTGATCCGCCCTAATTGGTGGTTTTAATTCAAACAATGTGGGTCCGCCCAGAATGTCAGGCCTGTTCTCTCTGGTATCTAACACCACCTCCTCCTCTTTTTTCTTGTACTTTGTCAATCGTCATAGGAATATTCGGTCATCTAGCACTTTTCCCTGTTGCTGCCTTGATTTAACTTTTATTAAATAATATACTGTTTCAATTGATTTTTGTAAGTAGTTGTATGTGCCCGAAAATTTATCCTTCTATTAAAATGCATGAGGCTGTTTGTATTGTTTTTACAGACACTGCATGTAGTTTTTAATTTCTAAAGACAAAGCGTTGTGTAATGCTAAAAGTGCAACAAAGCAGATGGTAAATAAAAACAGCCGACTTGTCAATGCTGGGACACTTATAATAAGGTCAATCAAAAACAATTAATTACATTTTACAAGCAGTACGCCGTTTTAAACCACAAAGACATGTAATTTCAAAGAAAAGAAAATTAATGAAACATTACCGTCGTCAGAAGCCTTTGTATTTGCATGGGTGTAAAAGAGAAATTTTCTTTTAAAAGTAAATAATTTAATACAAAGGGAGCTCCTTTTTTCAAGAGCAGCAGCAAAAAATTGTTTTTATAAAGGAAAACGTTGCTAAAGTTGCTTGCACAAGTAATTAATTTTTTTTACAAATGCAGCTTGCCAACTACATTAAATCATCTAACCCTAGTCTTGTCTCTACCCATTTTTACTCCTTTTTATTTATTTTTTATTCATTATTTTCACTACATCAAAAGTAATAAAATATATATTTTTCTAATGGGCGATTATAAATATGGTGAGGGGTTTATGAACACCAGCAAGTGTGTAGGATTTGCTGGATGTCTAGCGTCGCTTATTTGCTACGGCTTTATGGCCTATTATGTTGGTAAAAATGTCAATGAGCCGCTCAAGTCGGCATACCTTGCCAACTATGCGTTTACCATGATATGTATATTCCTCGTTACATTCTTATCAGTTCCATTTACAAAAGCTGTTTATGAACGATTTGGTATTTTTAAAAATAGTCTTATGAAGGGTATGCTTATTCTGGTTGCCTGGTACTTGTCAATCGGCACATTCTTGATTACCGACCCAGTCTTTCATCTTTCCAAAGCACGAGATGGAAACAATGTTGAAAACGCCACATTCCCATTAATGGCATTTACTGCCGGTGTCCTTGGGCTTGCCTCTCTGATTGGAGTTGTTGCTGGAATACAGGCACCCGATAATGACGGAACCAAAAAGCCAGCTGCGTCTGGTGGCCCCGCAACAGCACCTAATGTAGAATAATAAGGTTTCTGATTATATTGTCAGTTCTATTTAATAGGTCTAAACCTAAAAATAAAGCCCAAAGACAAACACATTAAATACTAGCTAACGGCATTTTACAAAACCAAGTTTTACCAACTAGGGCTAATCATTTAGTTGAAAATTACTTAAAATTTAAGCTGCGATAGTCTTAATAAATTAACAAAAAAAATAAAAGGTTTAAGGCAGAAGGCGCAATATAACAAAAATTAAATATCCAAAAACTAACACAGGCCCACAAACTTCTTTAAATACATTTTCAATTTATCAAATACATTAGATACACAAGTTTAAAACGTTTACTAGTTATTTATTGTTGTTGAAGCGCTAACCAAGGAGCTAGAGCTGGAAACATCCCTGTTGTCGCTGCTTAAATCCTTGGCAATGACCTCGAAGCTTCCAGTTAGCAAAGCCGTGTCAATCTCGTTCTGATGGCCGTAATCGTACTGTTTTTCCATATCAAACTGAAGGACCAAGTTTGTCCACTGTGCAAGGTAGTCTTGGCGATAAAAAAGGCAATTGTATGTTGGTTCCCACATTACAATCCAGTATCCGACTGAAGCGCCCACATGGTTTACATAGACTAGAGAGTTACGCCATCCGACGTAGGCAGGGTATGTTTTGATAACCATTAGGCAGATGGTGTTCATTATGATAATGACAAAGAGTATGCTAAAGGACGAGAGAATTTCGACATGCTCACTAAAGCAAAAAGACACGTTGCGCATATTCCACACCATATAGGCAATAAATGCCCAGACAATCCATATGACGACTAGTGTTGCTACAATATAGTTATTGTTTCCAAAACACATCTCCAATACAGGGTCATATTGAGTAGTCAACTCTACCGGAATTATTGAGGAAATAATGCCAACAAGTAGTATTGTTCCGAGCGAAGCACCAAGGGTAATATAGACCACTCGTCCCTTAAACGGCTTTTCAAGATAGAATATGTAATATAACGAGAAGGTGCGCAGGCAGAAAATAAAGCTGACAAAGTGGACGCCAAGTGTTGCTCGTAACCAGACTGCAGTAAGCTTGCAGTTTTGCAGAATATGACTCTTGCCGAGATGCACAAGACCACCAGTAAATATATCGCCTAGCATCCAGAATATTGCCCCAAGAAGAAGAGAAGCCATGAGCGGAACGTTTTTGACCTTGAGTGGGGGATAGTTTCGGTTATAAAGCTGGTAACAGACAGCAATAAATTCCAGGCCGTACATTACACTGATAGCAATAATTGTTGACAAGTCGACAGAGCCGATAGGATCGAGATGGATGCCTAGATACTCTGCAGTTTCAACCCGCAGCATTTCGTCGAAAGTAAGACTAAATGTCATTTTTAGAACAGAATTTGAATACTAAGAAAATTACCGAAGCAAGAAAAAAAATGAGGATCGTTTACTCCTGCAGCAAAAAAAAACCTAAAATTTATCTATATGGAGCTTGTTTGGGATTAAAGAGAAACAAAGGCAGGGTGTAAGGAATAGGTCATATTTCAATAAGGAGTTGCCGTATTGTTCTGTGCCACTTGCCTGCAATAGCGAGTACAGCTCTCTTGCTTTACGTTACTCTTTCCCGAGTACCGTCCCAGACAATAGGTCTTTGCTCTACATTGTAATTTGGTGTGGTCTCTTGTATTCTCTTTATTTTGCAGATTGTACAGCGGAACAAAGCAGAAAATAGCCGTTATCAGTCTTTTTTTACAATTGCAACTTTGATAACGAAATCCAAAATTTATTTTTAGTTCACACTAGGCTGACTTCGTCGTTTCATACACCTTCGACTGCGATTCGAGGGTAGTTGAAGTGCGGGTCCTGGACTGCTCAAACGACTCCAAGTCCGATATCTGTGTCTCCACCGTAGAATACACGTCTATCGGTGCCATACCCTCAATCAGCACTGTGGTCTCTTCCCGGTTTAACGACGAGTATTCATACTGTCTCTCCATATCGACCTCCTTTAGAGTATCTACCCAGTAGCGCAGGTACTCCTCGCGATGGAACATGCAGTTATACGTTGGAACCCACATGACCACCCAGTATCCGACCGAAGCACCGACGTGGTTGATATATAGAAGGATTGTACGCCACACCAGTGACGCAGGATATACAGTGATGACAAGCAGACATACCGTATTGAGTATGATGATTGTAAAGAGAATACTGAATGACGAGAGTATTTCCACATGCTCGCTAAAGCAAAACGAGACGTAGCGCATGGTCCATGTCATCCAGGCGATAAGTCCCCAAACAACCCATATAACCACCAACACCGCTGTAATGTAGTTGTGGTTAGCGTAGCACATGTCCATTATATCCTCGTAATACACAGTCATATGCCCCGGTACTAGCGTTGATATAATACCAAACAGGAATATCGATCCGATAGTAGTACCAAAGCACAGGTACACGACGCGTCCGGTAAATGCCTTCCCAAGATAGAATACGTGGTACAGAGCATATGTACGCAGGGCGAATAGAGATGTTACGTAGTATGCACCGAGTGATATCCGACACCAAATAAGCGTGAATCTGCAGGCTCGTAATACCGGGCTGCCAGCTAGATGAACCAAACCGCTGGTAAAAATATCGCCGAGCATCCATATGACCGCCCCAAAGTATAGCGAGAACATGATTGGCACATTTTTAACCTTTAGCGGAGGATAGTTGCGGTGATATAGTTGATAGCAGAGGGCAACAAATTCTATTGCGTACATGGTGCTCAAGATCACAATTGTAGACAGGTCAACGTGTCCAATCGGATCGAGACGGATGCCAAGAAACTCTGCAATCTCTACTCGAGAGACTTCGTTAGATGTTAGCTCAAACGACATGTTAATAGACTTGTTGCTGAAGAATAGAGCGATTATATAATGTACAGATAATAAGGGGGGAAAAGAGAAAAATGGTGGAGGCAAAGAAGAAAAGAAGCTACAGAAATAACAAATGTATACTCGTTTCTACTTATTTACTACTTAGAATTGGCTTAGATCCAAGGAAAAATTGGCCGTAGCTGGTTGACATGTCGTTTATTATTTTTGACAATACACAAGTTTACGTCAATAGCGCATTAATTCTAAAATGGCAATAATGGCGCACACCGCGTTATATTTCCTTCTCACTCTGGTCTACCAGCTGGAAGAAAATGGACAACAATCGATTTTTAGCATTATTGTTTTCGAGACCTCCATTCAGAATCGACAGTATGAAGGCGTTCCAAGGGTCTTCAAGTAAAATCTCTAAGCCTCGCTAAATCACTGTAAACTATAAATTAAATTTAGACCATCATATGCTTAGACATGTTTGTAAATTCAGAGCCATCATCCGCGACAACCATATCTGAATGTGTGTAGCTGCTTTCGTTCGGCGACATATCGGAGGCGTTTACGAGGTTCATTGTATCAATCTTGTTCTCGGTCGAATACTCATACTGTCTCTCCATCGCGTCGCTCTTTAG